TGCAGTGTACTCCATGTGATGTGCAGTGTGCAGGATAGAGCGTGCAGGGTGATGCATGTGGTGTGAAGTATGTAGTATGCAGCATGTGGTGTGCAGTGTACAAGGTATAGCAGGTAGTGTGCAGTGCATAGGCTGTAGTGTATGGTGTGCAGTGACCTCTGTCTAGACCAGGGCCTAGAAGATGGGGACTGTGCCCTTCCTTTAGGAAGCCCACCTCACCTCAGTTCAGGCCACTCAGCATCTTACCAGGGCAGGGGACAAAGCAGCCCTCTTCAGTGGCCAGAGCCATCCTTACCTGGATCAGGCCTGCTAGCAGATAGAGTGCCACAAAAGTCTTGCTACTTGTGACTGACTGACCTTCCACAAGGTGGATGACACAGAAGAAAATCAGATGGCCTGGGACCACCAGAAAGAGCAGGACTCGAGCTGATGTCGAATTGGTTTCTGAAAGAAACAGAATCAAGTAGTTTGTGGGACCCATCTAGTAGCAGAGGCCACTTTGGCATGTGACAGTCTCACAGAGGCATCCACACTCATCCAATCATTCATTTCATAAATGTTTACTGGGCACTTACTATGTGGCAGAGAAGGAAACAGTCTTGACCCTTTCCTCATGGGGTTGATATTTTAGAACAGAGAGACAAGCAAGAATCAAATAAGCAGAAAGAAACGAGAAAGGTCTTTTCAAAGTGTGATGAGTCCTATGAGGATGATCCTTCAGGGTATGGAGACAGAGCATGAAGTATGCTTGAGCAGGGGTCAAGCAACTAGCCGTGACACTTCTGCTGGCGTATGCACTTGAGGGAGAAGGCCTTGGGCAAAGGAAAGAGAATGTGCAAGGGGCTTAGGCGAGAAAGAGCTTGGGAGTGTGGAGGGACAGTCCCACCCTGGATGGCAGGGATCTGGAGGGGCAGCCCCTTCCTCATGGACACCTGCAGGCCCTGCCAGCACAAGTGTGCCATGTGAGAGAGCCCTAGGTTTTTCGTCACACTTGAGTGTGATTCACCCTGATACAACCATATCTTTAAAAACTATACGTGTGAATGCAATTGACTTCTCAAACAGAAATAGATCTCCAAGGAAAAACAGGCCTCCACTTGCCTATGTCACCAAAACAATAAGGAAATAAAGGAAAAAATCATGGGTAGCTTAGAAACTAAAACATACCATAAAACAATGTGTATAAAAGATGGCAAGGACATCAAAATCTATTCATGAGGAGAAATGAGATGAGGAATAAAAAGATTCATTTAAAAAAACTTAAAAAGGGGGAAGCAACACTTTTAGAAATTACTATTGGCAGCTGGCACAAAAACTCAAGAAAATCTATAGGAAAACTATGAAAACAATAGGAATTCAGTAAAATGTTTGGGGCAAAAATTACACAGAAAAATAAATAGCCTTGTTATATAAATGACCAGTAAGAAAATATAACAGGAAATTTGATTTTAGGACCAAATGGGGAAGAAACACTAAATACAGATTAAAAACCATGGACATTATATATAAAACAAATGTAAGAAGATTTTGAAAGGTAGAGAGAGAAGCAGGCTGGCTAGGAAACTTAGAAAGCAATGACCAATACTGTGGTGAGTTCCCTCAATTGTGTTTTCCCAAACTGGGTCCTGGAGACATCAGCAACCCAGAAATGCCAATGAGAATGGACAAAAAGGGAAAAACTCCATAGAAATCTGCTCTTTTTAGCCAAAGGTACAGGAAAAGTGGCAGCAGAGAACTTTTACACAGTAACCTCTTCAGCCAAATGCAGCAAGAAAAACTGCAGCCAGGGGCAGGAGGTCCTTCTTCACCGAGGTGAGGATTTCCTCTCTTCCTGTTTTCTTGCAACCTGCACTTCTGCCTTGTGGAAAGCCCCACAGCTTGTAATTACACGCTCATCTGTTTTGTGTCTACCTGCTTCTGAGGGCAAGAAATTAGCTGTCTCTGTGTCCCCACTGCAACCCATTACATGGTAGGCATTCAATAAATACATAAATTGAAATGCATAAATTACACAGAAAAATAAATACCCTTTTTATTAAATATCTGAATGACTGAATGGAGGAGAGGCAGGGTTCAGGAGTCAGGTCCCTGGAGGAGCTGGGCCCGGAAGGTAATCAATGCAAGGCATTAGGCATCCATTGTTACACTCCACGACATCAACTTTTACTTCTTTAAAGACAGCAGACCTACCTGGCATACAGAAAGTAGAATGTGGGTTAGGCCAAAAGTTTTTCATCCAGAGGGGTAGAACCCCAGGTGTGCTCCAAATGTGCAGGTAAGTAGAGATTCGGCTGGTGTGAATAGCCACTAGATTGCCACCAACACCTGTGAGAAAAAGAATCTGTTTTCCCTTTCTTTGCCCCAGCCTTTGAATTACGTCCCCTTTTTTAAGTTCATTTCCTCCAAGAAGCCTTGTTTAGTCAGTTTAGCACTTGGAATCTTTTCCTTCCTTCCTCGTGACTGCAGTTTTTGTTTGGCACCAAGTCAGGGTGGCCCAGACCTCCTGAGTGTGGTACCAAGGTAGTAACTATATTGCCTTGACAGCTGGTACCTCTTAAAGTGAGGGAAGTGTGACTGGCAAAGTAGCTTTTCAATAAATATCCGCTGCCTAGAGGGAGGGGATTCAGAAAGGACAAGGAGAGGATGGAAGGGGTGGCAGGTCTAATAAGAGCAGGTAAGACTCAGACCTTGAGGCTGCGGGAATGGACAGGACCCAGACTACAGGCTGGAATATCTAGGAAAATGAAAGGCATTTTTTCACCTCAAAGTGGGAAGCAAAGGAAAGAAAACAGTAATAAGAGTGGGGAAGGAAGGGGAAGAAAGACATGATCACATGGCGACAAAGCAGGCCTGTCCCAGTAGAAGCACCCTGGACAGCTCTTATGCTGGGTGGCCCAAGGGGTTTTAAGAAAAGACATTTTCTACTGTACAACTGCAATTTGTGAGCTATGTGAGTCCCTCTCTGGGAGCCCTGAAATGTTAGGACACAATCGCACATTCATAGATGCATGGGGTACATGGAGTAGGTGTCCATAGGTGTTAGGGTTAGGGAAGGCTGGGGGTCATGTGTAGATTCATGAAATAAAGAACACAGACAAAACCCAAAGAACAAAGTCAGGAGGCCCAGAAAACCATGAGCACATTTTAGCTCTGAAAATTCTGGAGCTTCTTGCTGAGGCTCCTGGCTCCCACAGGGTGAGGAAAAGATTTCACCTTTTTCCAGGGCCAGATGGCCCAGATGACAAAGGCCAGACTGAGCACTTGTTTTATGCAGGCAGACACTAGGGCTGGCAGAGAACAGGGCCTGCCCATGTGACAGCTGTCTTTAGGGGTGGCTGACAGAGGTGAAGGTTGCCCTGATTCTATGTCCTCAGTGCCATGAGACCACAGGAGGCAGTGACTTCTAAGGCCAACCACCTGGCCAGAGGATGGCTACAGATATGTTTTGGCCCATACATGGAACATTTACAAGTTGGGTCCCTTACTCCAGATTCGTGGCTTCTCTGAACATGTCAGTTTTGGCAACTGTGAATCAACATTCTCACCAGGCAACATTTGGTTGGAGCTGGATGGGCACCATATTCTTCGGATCACCACTGTGTTCTGAAGTACACCCCACTCCCCACCACTCCTTACTGGCTAGCTGTGTCCCTGCTACCTAATTCATTCAAATTGAGTGCTTGGCCCCTGAAGGCATCTGAGTTGGTGATTCATCCAAGGAGATCTGCTCAAGCTTACATGCCATCTGCTGCCTTCCTCACTGTACAGGGAGGCCCTGTGAGACTCTGCCAGGGTATAGATGTGCTGGGTGGCCCCTCTTCAAGGAGCTTAAAGTATGGTCCCCCATGGGAGGTAGACGGTAGGGTACTAAGGACATGCAGGGGATGCTCAAGGGTATCAGAAGCCTGTTTCTGCAGGCCCAGAAGGTCAGGTCCTGGGGACCAAGTAAGCTAGACAATGACTTCCATTTGGTTACTCTGCTAACTGGTCAGTTCTGTTTACACCAGACACCAAGCCAAGCTTAGCTTAAGAGAAACAACATGGGATTGGTTCTGTCAGGAGAGCTCCCACTTTGGTGGTGGCACGAGGAACCAAGTTAGCACTGCCAAGAGCAGAGTGCAGGGCTTCCTGCCTGGGTCTCCCTCCACTCGAGCAAACCAGCACCAAGGCCCTATAGCTCAGCTGCCCAACTGCCCCTGAAGGTCCAACCCAGCTCTGGGGCCCCCTCAAATACTTACCACATATGATGGGAGTGAATATGGCCATGCCTTTGAACTGCTGCTTAGAAATGGTTTTCCTCAAGATGAGCCCTCCAAAACTGGGGAGAAAGCAGACAACAGTCCCACAGTCAGAGGGTTCATACTCACACGGTCCCTGCAAACCTCTGCACCAATGCCCTATCAGCACGGCTTCCCAGTCTGAGCAGACACTCCTTCCTTACACGAGTATCTGCTGTAGCCAAGCTAATAACGTGTCCTCTGCACCCCACCAGGATTTTCCATCCCCACCTCTCCTCTGAGTCTCAGCTACTCCAAAAGCCATCAAGGAATGACAACCCCTTTTAGGACAAATGAACCACTACCTTTCTGAAGCCATGCAGCTGGCTGGGCCTCTCACCTGACTAAACTACATGAAGATGCTTTTTAGTGAAAACAGAACCTGCACAAGTGTCAACTGTGCTGCCTTTTCTCTTGGGAAATGTTGCACTTACCCCATGGCTGCTGTGTGTGCAAAGGTGCCACACCCCTCGGAACTTACAGAGCCCTGAGAAGTTGGGTCAATTTGTATAAGAGGCCTGGAGCCTTCTGGAATCACAGACAGATGCATTGTAACCTTTTCTCCCTGAGAGTCAAAGCCAGGAAAACACATCCAAGTGGACTGGGGAGGCCCAACCAGTCTGCTAGCAGGGGTCTCTCAAACAGAGCTGGAGAGGGGCGCTAAATTTATGTGGGCAAATAGCAAAATCTTCCCTAGGTAGAGGAGTATAGGGTCCAGGGGACTATCTCACAGCAGCTATGCTGTGGACAATGACCTGGTGTGTGCATAACAGAGATACTGCCTGCAGCGTAAGCAAGGTAGGGCAGCAGAACTCTGGCAACTACAGACTGAGGGCCATATCCCCTGGCATCATCAAGCAGGCTAGGGTTCTATGGTCAGGGGCCCTCATCTAACCCTCTCCCAGCTCTGGCACTTGTAAACGAGGTGGCCTCCCTTAGAAAAAGCCCCAGGATTCACGGTGAAAGAGAGCCATGAAAGTATAACTCAACCACTACTGAGGGTTCCCAATTTTCACTCCAATCCTGACTTCTCAGATACTGAGCATCACCCTTGTCCAGGATTTTGCAGTGCTTGGGGAGGAGGCTGAGGGATGGTCCTGGCCTGGCGCACCTGCTGATGACCATTGCCAGGATGATGGGGACCCAGCCAAACTTCAGGATCTTCACGACAGGTGGGCTCTTCTTGGCAATGAGGACCCACAAGGGGATCAGAGCCATGAAGCCAATGCAGACCAGCGGCATTAGAAACCAACTGTCTGCAAAGAGAGAGAAGACACATGTAGATCATGGGCAGTACAGTGGGCAGGTCTGGCAGAGGAGGGCCTGGGCTGCACAGGGCACAGGCAGGCTGGGAGTGAAGGACATGAAAGTCTGGGAAAACTCCAGCCCTACTGCATTTTAATCCCCACCCGCTTTCATTTTAAATTTCAGAATTTGGGGGGGGGGGGGTTATAATCATTCCTGTTACACAATTTGCTTTTATGTAGTTTGAGCCACTTCTAAGTGTGTCCCTCACCCAGGGAGATGTGGAATCAACCCAAGTAATCCCAAAATATAAGTGGATTAATAATACATGGCACATGTACACCATGGAATACCACCCACCACCCTTTCCAAAGACCCTTCACCATCCTATCAAACAGTTTAGAAAGGTCCTCTCTGTCTTCCATTCCTACCATATTCACTTCCACTTGTCTGACATTTTTGCTATTTTCCCACATAAATTTAGCACCCTGCTCCATCTCTTCCCACTCTGATAATTCCTACTGGGACCAGCATTACCATCTCTGGGATGTTCCCCTTTAAGAGTTAGGTTTATAGTACACTTTAGGCCAGGCCTTCCTGGAGAACTTGTATGACCAGAGTCCAAGTTACTCAAAACACAGGAAGTCTGACACCTGGTGGCTCAGTGGTGATATCCAAAAGAATCCTGTACAACCAGAATCCAGGATTCTGCCCACCAGGACCTGCAGACAGACCGATTGATCCCTTGCGATTAAAAACAGAATGTCTAGCAAAAAGATTGCCATTGCCTGAGTCCTGCCCAAGTATAAGATAAAAATCACTGAACCAATTTAGGAAAGCCAAAATTTACCCCCTAATTTGTAATGTGCATGTGGTAATCACATGATGTGTTTACTTGATTTCTCCTCTGTTGTTTCCTCCTTTTACTGGGAATGATTGCTTGGGGTCCCTCACTTTGAATAACTAAAATTAACTTTATGTTTTATGTCATCAGCATGATTCATGGTTTCTGTTAAATGAAAGACCCTTGAGAGATCTTTGCAGGGCCACACTTGCTAGCTGCACTCCTAGGTACTACTAGCTACAGTGTACACCTCTGTGTACAGGCTCCCATTGGTTATTCCACCTGAGATGACCGAGTCAGAGTCTTTTCTCATGTCAACTGCTCTCAGTGCAGATTCTGGCAAAGGTAGTGGGGACCCAGGCCTCCACATTCCCCCTGCCAGCACTGTGCTTGGCACTTCACACATGACCTCATGTCATGGTCTCAACAGCCCTGTCCAGGCAGGCACCTGGAGGAGACCAGCAGAAAGAGGTGGCTTCCCAAGACATGCAGCATCTGGGACCAAGGCTTCAGCCCAGGTCTGCAGAAAGCCAGAGTGACCATGGGATGCCAACCACACTCCCAGATGAGACCAGACCAAGGTGAGCTCCCCGTCACCTGCATCTTCCATAAGGTGCCAATCACAGCCAGGCTGGAGCATCTCATGTCCCTGTGTCATCTTTTCCAACTGGTGGGAGGACAGTGAAGAAGGACTGGGGTTACATCAGTCAACGGTTAACTTGGAGCCAGGCCGGGCTGACCTCCTACCCCACCCCTGGTAACAACTGCATTCCTCATCTTCCCCTTCCTTTCTTGTATTCCATATGTGTCTTACCTTCTACAAGCAAACAGAACAAACCCCTGGATTTCTCTAGAACAGTCCTCTCTCCCCCAGCCCTACCCTCCCTAGGGCAGGCTCACCTACCAAAGAGGCCCTGATACTCAGAGGTGTCCAGGCATATGTCTGTGTCCCACACCCTCCCTCTCCAGGCAGTGTCACTAGGAACATGCTCCTCCCTTCTTTTCTTCTCTGCACTAAGGATCATTTGTTCCTCTGCCATGTATTAGGTACCCAAGTACTGCATGGCAGGAGTGCCAGTCTAAGAAACAGGAGGCAGGCCCAGCTGGCTCCCCACAGACCTCAGATGCTCAGAAACAGCAGCCTGCAGGAGCACCTCCTTCCAGGACACTTTTGAGTCCACTCCAAGTTTTTCATGACCACACACAAGCCCCTACTGAGGTTCTGCCTCATTTTCATCCTTGCATGGTAGTGTATACTTCCCCAGGGAGCAGCTCAGATCCCCAGCAGGTGCCACCATCACCTGCTTGGTCCTCAGTCAGTGAAGATTTCTCTAATTCGTGCCAGTCCTAGAATGTACCATGGATAAGTTCACAGTGTCACTGGAGAGGAGCAATCCAACAGGGATCCAGTGTCAAGTGCTCAGTTATGCATGGGAACATGCATATGGCATGACATGGAGCCTGGAGAAACCCACTCAAACAGCTAACCCATACACAAGTCTCCTTGCCTTAAATTCAGTTTGGCTTTAAACTAAAATTAGGTCATCTTATTTGATCCTTACAGATCTTCACTGCCACACATATGAACTTTGAGACTCTGTCTGATGATTAAATGGCATTATTGGCAGACAATACCAGGGACAGCAAGGAGAGAGCCCAGAGCTGTGCCAATACACCCCAAATCACAGCTGTGTTGTCTGCTTCAGGTACCAACAGATAAAAATGGGTGATTTCTCAAACCCCTAGGTCCAAATTCCCATGGGGCAGTGATAAACCAGAGTACTGCCCTAGACTAGGGCACCTCCTTATAGCTGCTGTCACCATGTGCCCCCTGCTGGCCTCCCCATCCCACTCACCCCTACTAGAGCACACGGATGTACCCAGACCAGCCTCAGGCACTACTCCATATGTGTGCAGTCTGCAGCTCTATATCCCTTCTAACCTGGTGGAGAACATGAGGTGCTTTCTTGAGATTACTCTGAACTCGCTGAATGACCTCAGGCTTTCACTCTCTATGGGAACACCATAGGTTCCCTCCTGATACGAAGGCCATAGTAACATCTTCATCCATTTTCTGTGCCTTATAATAGAACACCTGAAAGTGGGTAATTCATAAAGACATTAATGACTTACATTTTCAGAGGCCAGGAAGCCCAAAGTCAAAAGACTAAATCTGGTGAGGGCTTCTTGCTGACAGAGACCCACAGAGTCCTGAAGTGCTGTGGGCATCATGTGGCAAGGGGCCTTAGCATGCTGCCACAGGTCTCTATTTCTCTTTTTATAAAACCACCAGGTATTTCATCTTCTTTGGAGCTACTGTAAAAGGTATACAGTCATTGATTTTATTCTCACCTTGACTATTTCTGGCATTTATGAAGGCTACTGATTTGTGGGCACTGATTTTGTACCCTAAAATGCTATTATATCCCTTGATCACTTCCAAGAGATTTGTAGTAGAGTCCTTGGACTTTTCCAGGTATAAGATCATATCATCTGAAGGCTATGTTAACCAGCTTGATGAAAATTTTTCAAATTTTATGTAAAAACAGCACACTGTACCCCAGGATAGTATTAATGTACACAGCTATGATTTAATAAAAAAGAAAAAGAGCCCAGACCTATATACCCTGCAACATCGAATCTCTATATTAATATCTATAAGTTTATTTTTAATTTTTTATAAGTAATTTTGTAAAAAGCATATTGGAACCAACTTAAAAACATTTAGCATATCTCCAAATAGTTTAAGCATTGAAGGAATTTTAGTCTACTTTTGAGATACCTAGTTTATCTGTTCTCTGAGTTAAAAAATGTGGGCTCTAAAATAAAACAAACTGGGAGGGCTATGGCTAATGGTACTTAGAAGCTTCCAAAACAGGTTCTGATAAAGCCATTTCTTTAAAGGAGGAATACAAAAAATTGTCTAAAATAGTCTTGAATTTCACAAGGTCTCTGAAATTCCTCCTTCCTGCCCCTAGCTTCTCTTCCTCTCAGCCCTCTTTAAGCGAACTGCCCATGTAGACTGCTTCCCCAGACCCATCTGCTCCTGCTGCTCTGAGGCAGAATCCCCCCCCCCAGAGCTTGATAGTGTAAAGAGGGTAAAAAACTATTCGAAATACTTTCATCAAAGTGGTTAACATAGCCTTCACTGCACTTTCTTAATTATTAAGACATTTATACTCTACACTTAGTAGATTTGACATATATCCCTGTAAAATGAACCATAGGTGTAGTCTAACCATTTACCCTCCCTCCACCTATCCTCGCCCCCCTCTTCCCCTCCCCCTCCTCTTTCCCCTTCATCTTGAGCTGTAGTTAGGTAATAGCTTTCATATGGAGGTGTGGGTGCTTATATATTGGTTTCCTAGTAGAGCTGATACTTTTTCTTCCATTCTTGAGATACTTTGCTAAGAAGAATATGTTCCAGCTCCATCCATGTAAACATAAAAGAGGTAAAGTCTCCATCTTTTTTAAGGCTGCATAATATTCCAAGGTGTAAATATACCACAATTTATTAATCCATTCATGGGTCAGTGGGCACTTGGGCTTCTTCCATGACTTAGCACAATAATTAAGAAAGTGTGGTGAAGGTTATGTTAACAGGTTGATGAAAGTATTTCAAATTGTATATAAAACCAGCACATTGTACCCCATAAATGCATTAATGTACACAGCTATGATTTAATAAAAATAAATAAAAAGGAATAAAAGATGCACAACAGATTCATGGAAGCAGTTGTCTCTGAGAACAGTAATTGAACAAGGGAAATTTTCATTTTCTCTGTAGTTTTGTAGTGTCATGTTTTTAAAAAGAGGTTCAACAAATTAAATGTGCACTGAGAATTTAAAAAAAAAAACTATTTGAAAACTGGCAAATGAAGAACCTATTCTTCATTTTTGTCTATGTATGTACATTATTTTTCACTACCAAAATATATGAAAGAGCTCCAATTATCTGGTTTGAGAAAAAAGTAAGTACTTAAATATCTTATTAAAAAAATAAAAACTAACTCAAATGCTTCATGCAACTTAAGTAAATGTTGGGTAAATAAGACTAAGTTAATATTGCTGGTTTAATAAAAACAGCTGTCTTCTGATCAGTGAAATACCTAAGTATTCAACTTTAAGGGTTTTTTGCTTAGGAAATAACTACCTAACATTTGTAGGCTGCAAAAATGATTAACAAACTTGAAATAATGGTTAGGTTTAATCAACTAAGCATAACTATTAAGAATGAATAAATCCAATGAATGTAAATGCAATTAAAGTTTATAAATAACTTTTCAATAGTATGAAAAATCATTTTCAAATACTTAAAGCCATGTTATTTTGAATTAAGTAATATAAAGATAAAATGTCTGAGTCACTTATATAGTATAGACTAACTAAATATATTTAGATCTACTGATATACAAAAAATTGGGGAAATGTCTAAAAATTATGAAATGGTTTTCATCTATAAATACTGATATAAAACAGTTCAAAATTACTTACTTTCCAGGTTTTTCACTGGAAATTAAGGTTACTAAGAGTTAAAATTATAATTGATATATGTAATTAAAACTACTACATATAAGAGAAACAATTTTATAGTGTATAAAGAAAGATGTATTTTGTAAAGTTGAATGTAAGAAACAATTTTTCTTTTTTTTTTCATAAGCAAGAACTTTGTGGGGTTGAATGTTAAGTGGGAAAGGAAAGTACATTTTTGTCCTAATGTAGAATGTCTACGTAAAAAAAGAAGGTATAGGACAAAATGAAGGTTTAAGCAAGTTGTAGAAAGTTTGTGGAAGATTAATCACATGAAAGGAATTTTGCATGTGATCACATTGGCTAAAATTAAAGAGAAATTTTTATAAGTTTGTCTGAAAATTGAGCATTAGTATCAAAAGCACAATAATACAAGAGCAGACCCTTGGTCCCTGCATCATCAGAACAACAGGGTGTTCTCAGAATGTTGATCTTTTCTTTAATAAATTAAATTGTAGGTGGTTATACAATGTTCATGGAAATCTCATCTTGTGTCGTCAAAGCTGACTCAGACTAGATGAATTTGTTTATAAGGTTTTATTAAAATTAGCTTTAGTATTGATGAAACACAAATATAAAAGTACAATTTGGTTTTTTCCTTTCATCAAGAATTTTGTGTCATTAATAAGAGAGTACGAGATTTGTTTACCTTATAAGTAAACTAAAAAGAAGGGAAAGTGGGAAAGTTTGCCTCATGCTTTTCTTTATCAGCCCTCTTGATGGAAACTGAGGCTCCTCTAGATTGAAAAGTGACAGTACTTGTTTTTAAAAATCTTTAAATTATCATTTTGGCTAAATGAATAATCCTATTTTTATCATGTGTTTCAAATCTTTATTACTTTAACATCAAGTATTTTAAATGTTTAATATTTGACATACTTCTTTAAATTTCAAATTCTGAGATTAAGTCTTTTTGATTCAAACTAACTTGGACATAATAGAAAACCCTAGAAGTCCAAGACAGATGTATTAGGTTATTTGGTATGCTATAATGATCTGAGAACCACTGTCAAATCAAAAATGGTATTTAGTGCACTGAGCTCAGTTCCTGTAGCTCAGCGGCCAGGGCTGGCGGGTTCAAACCCAGACCAGGCCTGCCAAACGACGACAACTACAACAGCAACAAAAAAATAGCCAGGCATTGTGGTGGGCACTTATAGTCCCAACTACTTAGGAGGATAAGACAAGAGAATCACTTAAGCCCAAGAATTTGAGGTTGCTGTGAACTGTGACACCACAGCACTCTACTGAGAGCAACATAGTGAGACTCGGTCTCAAAAAAAAAAAAAAAAAGGTGTTTAACTTTGAGCAGTGTAAATGTATTATTGATATATGCTCCAAAATTACATTACATTCCTAAATTCTGATGTGTCTTGGTATATATTATCAGTCATAATCATGTTATAATTAGGTTAAATTGTGGAATGTCACAGAAATAACCAAATTTCTTTGTCAACTGCATTTTAACCATAGCTACACTAAGTCTTTTTTTTTTT